AGACCCCCCCCACCCCCCCCCCACCCTGGTTTGTCTGTGTCATTTATTTACCTACCATCCCACTCACCCCTGGGAAGAGAGAGGCTGACTGTGAGGCCAGTGCAAGAAGTGGGGGAGGGTGCTAAATCAGTAATTGGGTTGACCCGCCAGGAACAGAGCTGGGAATCTGCCTCCTAAACCATGCAACCATGCAACCCCCTCTTGTCCATTGGAGCCTATGGCCAGGTTCTGAGAGCTGAGCTTAATCAGTCGTGATCCTTGGGTCCCCCCCCCCCAGCCCCCATGGTCTGGGAAGGTGGTGTTTATGCTCTTAGTGCTGACTTGGGGTGGGGCGATCATCACCCCTCCCTGCCTCTATGTCCCTCAGGCCTAGAGAGCCCCTCTCATGTTCTACGGGCAGATGCCCCACCTCACGCCAGCTCTGCAGCCACCATCTGTGTCACACTGGCAGAAGGCCACCGCTGTGACCGGGCCCTGGAGATCCTGCTGCACCCCAGTGGTGAGGGAATGGGGCACACAGTGGGCTGGCCCTGAATCATCACCCCTCCCTGCCTCTATGTCCCTCAGGCCTAGAGAGCCCCTCTCATGTTCTACGGGCAGATGCCCCACCTCACGCCAGCTCTGCAGCCACCATCTGTGTCACACTGGCAGAAGGCCACCGCTGTGACCGGGCCCTGGAGATCCTGCTGCACCCCAGTGGTGAGGGAATGGGGCACACAGTGGGCTGGCCCTGACCAACTCCGGGGCCACCTCAGTAGCATTTTTCAGAAAAGCATAGATTTCTGGTCCCCTAGCCAGATGGACCCAGTCATCTGTAAGGGTGGGCCTGGTGGTGTAGGGAGGTTGGACCTACAGGGTCCTCCCTGGACAGCAGGACCGGGCAGTTAGGGTCCAGAAACAGGGATTCCCCTGACAGAGCTGTGCCCCTCCTCCCCAGAGCCCCACCAGCCGCACCTGATGCTGGAGGCCGGCAGCCTGAGTTCAGCAGAATATGAGGCCCGAGTGAGGGCCCGCCGGGATTTCCAGAGGCTACAGCGAAGACACAGTGACGGGGACCGGCAGGTATAGCTGCCGGGGGGCCTGCCTTGGCCCCTGGCCTGGCTGCTGGGTGCCTGTGTGCATGAGGAACAGGCGAGCAGACTCACGTTGGGATGAGTAGGGGGCTCTGCTCACAGTAAGAACTCTCAGTCCCGCCACCACCATCCCAAAGGACTGGTGAGTATTGTCTCCGGAGGGCCCGTACAAGCCTCCCTGGACTGTCTCAGAGAACGGGGCCTCAATCTGCCGTAGGCAGAGGACAGCCACCTGCCTTTGTCCTGGCCTTTATTCACGTGACCACAAAAAGGTGACTCATTGGGTGGATTAGACAGAAAAAGGCCCCAGGGCTGAGTCCCGCTGCCAGCCCAGGTGGGAGTTGCACTGAGCCCGGCCCGGGGTGACTCTGGGCTCCCATCTTCAGGTGTGGTTCCTGCAGCGACGCTTCCACAAGGATATC